GTGTTTCTCCTTTATCTTATCTGTTAAATGAATATTTCATGTAGGCATACATACATACATATATGTACAAACACAAATATTTATACATATTTACATAACTGCTTAGTTACTATGAAGATTTAGGTGTGTCACAAATTTAAAATGGAGCAGAAGAACTTCTAGGTTTGATAAGTAATAGCTCACAAAATTCTCAGATTTAGCTGTTTAAAGGAAGGAGTTTTAGCGCAAAAGCTTACATCGAAACAATTAATTCGAAGGAACCTACCCAATATGCAAAAAGCATTTTCTTAAATTTTCCAAATCTTTGAAAGATTCTTGATTTGCAACATTTTTCTCCAACACCTTTTCCAAGGCATGACTAAAATCGATACCCAAGCTTTTCTCTAGTGGAGCACTCAGATTATTTTGCATACAAAAAATTGCCATTTTGCTTGAGAATGGCTTGGTTTTGTCACTACTAAACTCAGCTTGTCGGCCAAATTTTATTTATTTTTTATTTTTGTTTCTCATATATTACATAACTAACAAGAGCTTGTGTATATCGTTTCTTTTCTTCAGAAAAACAAAAAAAATTCGAATGGACGCATGTTCGACTACTCACTTGTTGGTCACGAGTTCAAAACCTATGGCACGAACGCATTGTTTTCTTTTGGGTGCTGTTAACATATTTTACATTTGTAGGACATGTCGGCAAAAGTAACCATATAGATAGTTTAGAGAGCAAAGTTGCTAAGTCCATTTTTTTTTTTTTTAATTTTAAAGGAGAGGAAATAATTCTTATAGCCATTTCCTTCACAAGTAGATACTTATTTCGGAAATCTTTGAATACAACGGTTAAGAAGGATCCGACCTTTATTAAAATGTTTCGTATTATTTTAATTTTGCCTGATTTTTGGTGCCTCTTTTGGATTCAGAAAATTTACCTTTTGCGAGAAAAAATAAAGCAGGTACCTTAATCCTTTTCGAAACGTTGCATTTTTAATATCGTTTACGTCCTATATCAAAATATGAGTTTTCATAACACAAGTGCACGGAGAGAAATTTTTTCTTAAACAAACAAGAAAAACATAGGCAAATCACCACTCTGTGACTGTGATTGATGCAACAAAATTATGTTTAAGTTTGTTGAAAAAAACTATTTCTCTGTTTAAAAATTTCTAATAGGTAACATGGAAAAACCAAAAGTAACACTGTTCAAAAAAATCATGTTGCTTTTTTCTTAGTGTAATCATCTGCACTAACAGCTAAATATGCACGTATTGTTAGCGTCAGAAATAAGTTAACAGTGACGTATAGGTCTTGATTTAGTCTTGAGATTGAGCAAATCTCACGAGTTGTTACATTTTTCGACAAAACGTGTTTTTGGGCGCACCGCGTGGTGGTTTGCCTTTCTTAGAAAATGCACTATCTTCAGTTTTGTATAAAGAGCAAGATTCCATTGCGAAATTGAAATTAAATAAAAACTTAAAAAAGATATATGTACTATAAAAATAGAAGTAAAAATAACCACTCATGCTCATCTATTTCCACGTAGTTGCGTATGTATCGTTTACGCGCCGGAGGTCCATACCCAGCCACCTATCAAGTTTACTTGCACGCCTTAATTTAAAAGCGATATTATTTAAAAGTAAAAGTACTCCTTATGCACATTGTATACATATAACAATTTTAGATTGAATTTCGAGTGCACTAACAAAAATGGTAAAAATGGATTTTTAGTTTCCCAAATTATCCCAAGTCATCCTTTACTCAATGTAATTGTTTTTTTCATTTGATGAGACACTAGTCCTCAATTCTTTCGTTTTGACAAGAAGAACATTTTCATCGTTTAATTTTAACATTTTGAAGTAACTTAAATTATTAGGATTAAAAAAATCGGAATATTTCAAAAACCACAAAATAGCTGCGACAGATATTCTGCATGCTGCCATTTTTTTAATTGTGTGCACCTTGAAATTTCTCAGCTATGTTGCATTTGATGCCAACGTCCCTCGCCTCTATGAACATTCTATTTGAAAACTTCCCAACGTTATTAAAAAAAAACAAAACAATTATGATTTGTTTGAGTGACAATGAAATGATTAGTAATTTCGATACATTTTAAAGAAAATTCAATAAATTCGATACCTTTATTGGTTTTTGAGAATTTTTTGCCGAGGTGGTTGCGCTTTTTCTTCCAAGTAATGCATGAACACAGTATTTTGCTATGTGGAAGGAAATGCGGCATACTCTCGGCAAAAAAAAAACTCTCAAAAATCAACGGTAGTTTTAAAAGGACTTAAAACCTGCTGCAAAAGTGCACACTAAATTTTTTCAAGAAACAGAATTGAAGAGATGAAAGTTTCGCTTAAGATTTCTTGAATTTTCCTGAGTTCTGTATGAAATAACAAATTTTTATTCGTATGATTTTTAAAAGAAATTTCGTATAGAAAATATTAATTAATAAAATCGTCAAAACCTCACTCTGTTTACTTATTTTTGACGCTCACAGTACATATATGTGCATGCATGTACGTCTACATACATACATATGTACGTCTACATACATACATATGTACATATACAGAGTGTAATAACAATTTGTTTTATTTTATAGGCAAGCCAAATCATAATGTCTTCGTAGTCTGGAAGTGCATTTCCTTATGGGCAAATTATTATCGGTTGTTTGACGGCCGCCATAACAGAGTCGCTTCACACTTGGTAGGGCGCCGCTTCGCTCCCAAGTCCACATAATATGTACTGAGCGCAGCCGTAAAAAAGTTTATCCAAAATAATTTCTCGTTAACGGTGTAAAACTGTGCGTCCCCGCCATTTGCGTGACAATTTTAAGCAGCCCAACTCCAATCGGAGGAAAAGTGCGGCCAAACACTTAACAAAAATAGAAACGCCAAATAGTTACTAAACAGTTTCTTTACTTGTGGAAGCAATGATTTTTTTGCAGTTCCCACGAACCCGCTAATCTGCACAGATTGGTGCGAAAATTGCTAAGCAATAAATAATAATACGGAGTAATTAGATAAATGATTTGCGCGGTGGTTTTAATTTCATTTCAACTACTCTTTATAGCACACTTTGGCCTGTTAACCTGGCAACCGAGTATTGGACTCGAAGTGATTTCTCGCCGATTCATAAGCAGCATATCTTGATTTTTCGGTGACCTCCGTTGGTATTTAAGCCTTCTAAACGTCGCTAAAAGGTCTTAGCGTCGAAAGACCCAAGTATAGAAACAGTTTCTAAAACTAAAACTGGCTTTTTATATATAAACCGCTGAAAACACAAGTTTACAGAAATAAAAAAAATTGTCTCACCTGGGATATTTTTCTATAAATTCCAATGTATAATTTTCCATTGAATCCGAATGCCATATCATAAGATAAGATATAAGAAGGTACTTTCAGATTTAGCCGAATTTCGGTTTTTTTTTTTAATCTGAAAGAAGTGCACTCACTTAGTGGCAATTGCCTTTGGACATAGTCGGACAATCCCAAATTTCGTTTTGCATTGATAAATGCTTTCGGTACAAACATTGACATGAAAACATTTGTTTCTTTCAGGTTAAGAAGAAATTTCGATAATGGCCAACTGTAAAAATTCACCTTTTTTCAGATGTCAAAAAAAAAACGGAAATTTTGCTATATCTCAGAAATTGTTCTATATGTTTATCTTTTGACTCTCTATATTCCATATTTTACTTAGGAAATGATGATCAGGTGGTACAGGTTGAATTCAAGACTACATACTTCTTCGATTTCAAGTAAGCGCGGTTTAAGATAAGATAAAAAAACAAAGAGTATTCACGTATCACATCACTGTTGCAGTGATACCCTCAAATAAGGCTATGTGAAATACCTTGTATGCTTTGAACTCGATATACATAAGTTTCAGCTATGAAGTGTCACTGTCCTCAGGTCGTAGCCCTTTAATCGTTTACCCAATGCGTCATCAAAAGAATGAGTTCTGCCTCTACCAACTGCTGGGTTTATCTGGTTTTTAAACGGATATTAAATTGCAAAGGAATCGTTTTTGGCCATTACCTTGCCATAGCTGATAAAAAAAAGTTTCCCAAATGCGTGGACTTCTGCACCCAAAACCATCCTCATACTATATAGTGTATAATTCAGATCATTAAATTAAACATTGAAGGAGGCTGATATCGCCGACGCCCACATTAGATATAGCACCACCACTGCCCCTATATTGCACTTCCACAGCAGTTTCTTTGAGATCAGTTCGATATACCCAGTTGAGGGAAATTTCATGCAGGGATCTAATACTTGTGAAAAGTGAGTGCTAAATCCACTTCAGCCGGATAATAAATCCGTGACATATAGAGTTATTCATTTCGTATTTATGGCATTCTGTAAATTAACCTCAAATGGATAAATAACGGGGTCTAAAGAGCTTTCAAAAGAAGCAACGTCAAACTCATAGATCTACATTCCTCTAAGTGCATCGGATTGTTCTTACCTGCATTTGGTATGAACACTGGCATAAATAAATAAATGCTTGTCACAAAAATATGTATAGACAGCAATCAAAAACACCGATAAGGTAACAACGAGTCAATATCCAGCTACTTTCTACATACTTACTTGTACATACTCGTACCTAAATGCATGCATGCATACTTATGTATGCGGTTATGAAAAAGTAATTTTTCGCTTTATGTATGTCATGAAATTTGTTATGAATTAAGTTGGAAAAGGCAAAAATATTTCCGCCTTCATAAATATGTACATATGTATGTATGTACATAGGTTGTCACCACCCCTTTGACCAGTTGTGTCACATATATGTGAATATTTTATATGGACATGAGACTTGTATATACAAACAGATGTACATCTATATTTTTATATGCTTACACAGAGTAATTAACATTGCTGGTTTTATTGCTATTGCTTAACCCATTACGATTAACATTGAGCGCAGATAGAATTTTGTTTTTAATAATAAAATTTATTTTTATTTTGTTTTTTTAAATAGTTGTATAATTTAAGTTTTATGTAAAGTGTCAACTGGCATTTGCTTTCGTGAGAAATGATGGTTTGTCTATTTTTAGACCATATGGAAGACATGTTGCTCATGCGCTAATGTTTTTTGTTTGATTTGTTGGCTTTTTCAATTGTTTTGTAATTTTTACTCATTCGTAGAATTTTATAATACTTAACGGGCGAGTTTCATGTGTTTGGGTTCGGCTGTTTAATAGGAGAAGGGCCTTGATGGTTTGTTGTAGTTGTAACCATCTGGTCCAAGAGATCCAGCCTCGGGACCACTAGGACCGCCAGGACCGCCAGGACCTTCTGGACCCTGAGGACCTTCGGGACCTTCTGGGCCTGTCGGACCATCCGGTCCACTTGGACCTTCTGGACCACCTGGACCCGCAGGGTAACTGGGTTCCGGCCTGGGTGCTGGGTATGTTGGCTGCGGCGCTGGTTGAGTTGGCTGTGGCGCCGGGAAAGACGGCTGAGATCCAGGATATGATGGCCTTGGTGCTGGGAATGTCGGACCTGGCGACGGTTGTGCGGGCCGCGGTGCCGGATACGTAGATTGACCAACTGGCTGTGAGGGCTGTGGTGCTGGATAAGTTGGTTGTGGCGCCGGTTGAGCTGGCTGTGGCGCCTGATACGTTGGTTGAGGTCTGGGTTGTGGTTGTGGTTGCGGTTGTGGTCGCGGTTGCGGTTGCGGTTGTGGTTTCGGGCGTTGAGCTGGCTGCGTTGGGCCTACTTCATTTTCACCGGGGGGTGGCAAGTATTCGGGACCAGGCTTTGCAGGCGTCGATGGCTGTGGCTGTGGGCGTGGTTGATAAGTTGGTCCAGGGGAAGGTGGTTGCGGTCGCGGTTGGTATGGTGTACCAGGAGTAGATGGCTCTGGACGTGGCTGGTATGTAGGACCTGGCGCAGGGGGTTGGGGTCGTGGCTGGTATGTAGGACCTGGCGCAGGTGGTTGGGGTCGTGGCTGATATGTTGTACCAGGGGTAGATGGCTGCGGGCGTGGCTGGTATGTAGGACCTGGCGAAGGTGGTTGTGGGCGCGGCTGATACGTAGGACCCGGCGCAGGGGGTTGAGGTCGTGGTTGGTATGTGGNCCAGGAGTAGATGGCTCTGGACGTGGCTGGTATGTAGGACCTGGCGCAGGGGGTTGGGGTCGTGGCTGGTATGTAGGACCTGGCGCAGGTGGTTGGGGTCGTGGCTGGTATGTAGGACCTGGCGAAGGGGGTTGTGGGCGCGGCTGATACGTAGGACCCGGCGCAGGGGGTTGAGGTCGTGGTTGGTATGTGGTACCTGCTGTTGGGGGGATATATTCAGGTCCTGGTGTTGGTTGTGGTTGTGGTTGCGGTCGCGGTTGTGGTTGTGGTTGCNCGGTTGTGGACGTGGCGCAGGATATGATGGCTGTGGTTGTGGTTGCGGTCGCGGTTGTGGTTGCGGTTGTGGTTGTGGTTGTGGTTGTGGCTGGGGAGCTCCGTAAGAAGGCTGTGGTTGAGGTTGAGGCCGTGGGCGTGGAGCCTGATATGTTGGCTGAGGCTGAGGCTGCGGCTGAGGTTGCGGGCGTGGTTGTGGCTGTGGCCGGGGTCTTGGCTGCTGGGGTTGTTCAGGAGGAAGATATTCGGGGCCTGGTTGTGGTGATGGCGCAGGACGGCTAGGCTGAGGTTGCGGTTGTGGCCGCGGAGCCGGAGCTGGGCGACTTGGCTGTGGCTGTGGCTGCGGTCTTGGCGCAGGATACGATGGCTGTGGTTGTGGCTGAGAGGATGGATATGAAGGTTGAGGCTGGGGTTGGGGTTGTGGTCGAGGTGCGCCGTAAGTGGGTTGAGGCTGGGGTTGGGGTTGAGGTTGCGGTTGTGGTTGTGGTTGTGGCCTTGGGGCTGGGTAGGATGGTTGTGGCTGGGGTTGGGGTCGAGGTGCGCCGTAAGTGGGTTGAGGCTGGGGTTGGGGTTGAGGTTGCGGTTGTGGTTTTGGTTGTGGCCTTGGGGCTGGGTAAGATGGTTGTGGCTGAGGTTGTGGTCGAGGAGCGCCGTAAGTGGGTTGAGGCTGGGGTTGGGGTTGAGGTTGTGGTTGTGGTTGCGGTTGTGGCCTTGGGGCTGGGTAGGATGGTTGTGGCTGGGGTTGGGGTTGANGTGGTTGTGGCCTTGGGGCTGGGTAGGATGGTTGTGGCTGGGGTTGGGGTCGAGGTGCGCCGTAAGTGGGTTGAGGCTGGGGTTGAGGTTGCGGTTGTGGTTGTGGTTGTGGTTGTGGCCTTGGGGCTGGGTAGGATGGTTGTGGCTGGGGTTGGGGTTGGGGTTGTGGTTGTGGCCTGGGAGCTCCATAGGATGGTTGTGGTTGGGGTTGAGGCTGTGGTCGAGGTTGTGGCTGTGGGCGAGGAGCTGGGTACGATGGCTGAGGCTGCGGCTGTGGTTGCGGCTGCGGTTGCGGCTGCGGCTGTGGCTGGTAGCCTGTATCGTCTATCTCATTGCCCGAAGGTGGTGGTGGAAATGGCACCGATGGCTGTTTGTAATGATAACCATCCNTGGTTGTGGTTGTGGCCTTGGGGCTGGGTAGGATGGTTGTGGCTGGGGTTGGGGTTGAGGTTGTGGTTGTGGCCTGGGAGCTCCATAGGATGGTTGTGGTTGGGGTTGAGGCTGTGGTCGAGGTTGTGGCTGTGGGCGAGGAGCTGGGTACGATGGCTGAGGCTGCGGCTGTGGTTGCGGCTGCGGTTGCGGCTGCGGCTGTGGCTGGTAGCCTGTATCGTCTATCTCATTGCCCGAAGGTGGTGGTGGAAATGGCACCGATGGCTGTTTGTAATGATAACCATCCTCTTGCAGGTCACTACTCAGATGAGAAACATCAGCAAGCACTCCATTCGCAGCCAGAAANCGAAGGTGGTGGTGGAAATGGCACCGATGGCTGTTTGTAATGATAACCATCCTCTTGCAGGTCACTACTCAGATGAGAAACATCAGCAAGCACTCCATTCGAAGCCACAAGGGCAAACAGCAGGGCTAATAATTTCTGCAAAGTACAAACAAATAATAGAAAAACCAATTAGAATTTTTAATGAAAGGGATGAAGACGAGCAGCAATTTGAATATGTATGAAATATGAATTCAGTAAGGTATTTTGCAATCAAGCATTCGTATAGAGGTGGCTGATTACGCAAACTAAAACAAAATTTGCGTGTTTTATGCGGTCCATAATTGCTCGCAATGCGATTTACTACATCCGCGAGCTAATCAGCCAACCAAAATCTGCTTTTGATTTATTCAACATTCTCGACATCTACTCGGCCAAGTGAATTGAAGAAAACAACAGTTGAAAACAAACAAAACATCCATTAGCTATTCAAAAGTCGACTTCATAGTTACTATCTAGAGATACACATGTACATATATATGTATGTATGTGTTTGTAAGCAAAGTGTTCGTTAGTTGAATCATAGCCCGCCCTTTAGAAATGTAATGACGGTTTCATACTTTTTCACTAATTCGTGATGGTATTTACAATAAGCTGGGAACTTCGTTTGTGCTTTAAGTTCGCTTGGCTTTGGGGCTCGCTCGTTGCAGCACTACCAAGTCACGATTTCGAAATAATTCCGGCAATATGACTAAAACTATGTTTTTTTTTCTATCGTTGGCTAAGCCGAATTTCTCCATAGCTTCTTTTGTTTCTAATATCAATGCAATGGATGGCGTAGTCAGCTTCGCCGAAGTCTCAGATTTTCTCAGATGACTGCAGCTTCGATTTACCAATTTTGGCACAAACAAAAATTTTCTTTGTATGTTTGTTGCATGCCGTGCTCAGCGTTTCGACTTTGTTGTTGTATTAGTTGTTTTTAGTATTACGTTTTTCTGTTCTTTGTTTTCACTGATGACATAAATCTGGCTGCTTAGCACACATCGTCACAGTTGGTCATAAATCACATTTTGAGCTGGTGGCATAGCCAATGCTATAATATAAGTGCATGTGTTGCACAATTCTGGTTTGCTGCAAGTTACCTTATTGCGAAATGCGAAACTAAGGTGACCGATAATTTTTTTTTTTTTGTTTTTTTTTTTTTAGTTTGTTATAACTCACCATTCTCAAGTTTCATTCGCTAGCGCCCGAGCCACGAAAACGATTTTTACTTTTATTAACACAACTTAATAGTTATCCTTCAGCATATAACAATGTTCGTGTACAGTAATATTTAATAACAAAATGACGTTAGTATCGCGAAACTTAAATGGCTCTTAAAATTCACTTCGACTTCGACAATTTGTTCACGCCAGTTGCTCGCCCGAAATCCAAATGCTGACCAATTGTTCTCGCTCAGCTGAATTTATATGAAAATCGCGTGGCTCAGTGCTGCAGCTCCGCCGCTAGGGAATTCCAACTCTCACAGCGCGCAGCCGCAGCATCGATCATAGCTTCATAGCTTCTCCAATTGTAGCATCTCCATGCCGCATGCCTACGACTCTTTCCCTACATGCTTACAATACCTATTAGATGCGGTAACTGGCTAAGCGCGCTGCCAAACAGCTAAGACGCCGGCAACCTCAATCGCAGCGTCATCATCATAGCCAAAGCAACAAGCTCGACGTGAGGCTCCCCGACTAACTATGCCGGCGGCAACAAAAACAGCAGCAGCCAGCAGCAGTGACAGCTTCTGAATAGCGTACACCGAGCGAACGAGAAGATACACAAAGTAAACAAACTAAACGGGCGTTGTCGCCTGTAAAGCAGCGCGGCGCGGCGCGACGCGGCGCACGCTCAGTATCATAGACTAGCTCGACGGCGAGCGACTGACTTCATAAAGGTTTTTCCAAGCCCAATCATCATTAGAGCCACAACAAAGAGCCATCATCATCGCGTTCAGAGACGCTGACCGAATCTCAATGTATCGATTTAATTGTTATTGGAAACTCGCTTTTAATAATCTGTGCAACGGAGATTAATTTATAACAATTTTTTTTTTTTATTTTTAAATTTTCATTAAACATTGCAAGTACTATACACTTATCAAATATTATACAATATAAATGCAATTGGTGATTGCAAGTTTCCCACGCTCTGGGTCAGAAGTTGACGCCAAGATTTGGAGTATTGGAGTATGCAGTATTACTTCACAAACTGTTGGCCATCAGAATCTTATGAACTCAAACCGAGCCAAGGGTGACTAATCAAATGCACTGGTTGCTTGTTAGCCGGAGCCATATCGTTTCGTACGTCAGCAAAAAAAAAAAAAGAAAAATTGCCTCTCCAAATGATGATGGAAGCCTAAAAAAGATCCGGCAAACTTTTTTCCAATTCGTGTCAATATAGTCACGGGCTGGCCAAAAATGGTTATTTCAGAGGCTTCCAGTTGTATTGCTGGAACCATTTGAAAGTTGAAACTTTATCCCTAGTGCGAAAAAAAATATTTTATGACGTCAGCGAATAGGTTAATGCTGTCAAATCGATGAAAGGTTATCGGTTGGCGCCATCTTTATTTTCTACATCGTGGCACTGATATATGTACGTACATACAACAAGCATTGATAAGGATTCGAGATAGAAAACTAATAGTGATTTCGTTTCTACCAAAAAATGTTGCCCCTTTCTATTTTCTATTCCGGGGAAGGCAACATTTTTTGGAAGAAACGAAATCACCATAACTCTAGGCGAGATGTAACAATTGTAAACCGTGTTCAAAGCTTGTAGGGCACGTTATAGAGAAAAGTTGATATTTCTCTATTTTGACTATAGCCAGAGTGAATATTTCCTAGAGTTGCTTTACCGTGTAAACTTAATTGATAGAGGAGATTTTTATTTCAGTAAAACTCTAGCTGCTAGTAAAAAGTGGCTGTCATTAAAAATGTAGTAGACAGACTGCCCAAGTGTGTCTCACTGATGATGCGCTCAAAATTGGTTAGAAAGTGCCTGGCGTCGCTCTAAATTTGGTTGGTTTAGTAGACTTTTTTGAGTACCTGGCCACAGTTATATTACTTGGCTCATGAATTGGCGATAACGTGTAATTTTGAAACGATATTACCGGACAGGGGGCGAATGGAATGCCACGGACTACGCAGAGGTCATTCATATGTGACCCTGGCGGTCAAAGTAGCTCCTTGAAGCTTACAGAACCTCAGTTCTCGCGCGTAGTAGGGATCGTAACACTGATCTAAATCTGACCCTTGCCTAACACTTCATATCATTGGCTCTATAGTTAAGCGATTTACTCATAAAGAACAACCTTTGCAATGCCCAACTGTGTTCTAATCTACGACCACTGTTCCTAACTTACATAGAAGGTTTTTTGTATTACTGGACTGCAGAATATCTCTGAATAATTTATACTTGTCGCCGCCAATATGATGTTCACGGAGCACGAAAAAAACAGTTTGGAAGTATCCACTTAGCGGATCTCTTCAGCTGAGGCGAAGAAAAACGCGGTACAGCTTAATCCCCCACATGCAAGCTATTCAAATTGGTATATACTACTGTGACTGAACCCGCTTTTTTCCAGAATTGGACAGTGACTCACATAGTGATCGCTGTCTTCCACTCTCCTTCGCCCTTCAGCCTTGTAACCACAATAAAAAAGGCACTTATGCACAAATAACCAACAAACTTCAGAGCTTAAAGCTTTTATAAATGGTTCATGGCTAAATTGGCGTTGGTTACTTTTCCTACAAACGTCTCTTTACAATATTGAAAGCAAGGTTTTACAAAAAAATTTGATTAGAGCTAACTCACCTGTGGCATGGGGCCAAGAACTGTTCCAAGGTGTATTAAACAAGGTGGTGTTGGGGCGACAGCTGAGTTTTTCGCCGTGGAGGCCATTACGTCAAAATGATGTGTTTGTTGTAACTCATACCAATGACAGTATGGACATCAGCGTATAATTTGTTAGTGTAATTTTTTACTTATATACGGCCAACACCACCTTGTTAAATACGCCTTGAACTGTTCCATATCCAAGTATCCATGGGAACATCATTAAATTAAAGCGTTTAGATTTGAATAGCGTTATTTTGAGTAAATCTCTTTGCAAATTTTATTAGTCAGAAATGTCTATTTAAAAACTAGCATATCAATGTAATAAGTCATTTAGATTCACATTTATGCACAAATATCTTTATATTTATTTTATACCACACCTATCTACTTACTATCTGTGCATTTCTAAAAATGCTGACAAATTCAACCGATTGACCCAAAAAATAGTAACAACTCAAAATAAAATTTATTTTATTATTAAATTTTCGAGCATAAACAAATTTATGCAAATAAACAGCAATCGCGCAAACAGAATCTTTACTACATTCATGAGAATGCGGATTTTTTGATTTAATATTGTCACCGTGTCGCCAATAATCANATTAGTCAGAAATGTCTATTTAAAAACTAGCATATCAATGTAATAAGTCACTTAGATTCACATTTATGCACAAAAATCTTTATATTTATTTTATACCACACCTATCTACTTACTATATGTGCATTTCTAAAAATGCACCGCCTAGCTGACAATTCAACCGATTGACCCAAAAAATAATAACTCAAAATAAATTTTAATTTATTATTAAATTTTCGAGCATAAACAAATTTATGCAAATAAACAACAATCGCGCAAACAGAATCTTTACTACACTCATGAGAATGCGGATTTTTCGATTTAATATTGTCACCGTGTCGCCAATAATCAATCCTACATATTTCATTTGATTTGTGCTTTTGCTGCTCTTTCTGCTGCACACCTCCATATACACACACACACACATACATTCTTTCTGATGAAATCGAAATTAAATTGATAATGTGCCATACATACAAACATACAAAAAATACCTGCACGCATACATGCATACATACATAGCTACAAAAATGCATCAGAAGTTCTTTTCATTACATAATG